CACACTGCCTCCCTCTCTCAGCTCTGATCTCTATCCCACACTGCCTCCCTTCCAGCTCTGATCTCTATCCCACACTGCCTCCCTCTCCCTCCCAGCTCTGACCTCTATCCCACACTGCCTCTCTGTACTTGACCGGTTCTCCAAGGTCCTCTCTCGGCCCCACTCTCTTCCTCTCCCGCCAGCCCAGCTCTTACCTCCCAGCCAGATGGCGATGGCAATAATCGCTAGCAGGATCACGATGCTCCCAGAGCCCCCGAAGCACCGGGCGTTTCTGTTACAGGACAGACCGCTCTTCCTCTGGGGCGGCGCTGTGGAGACAGGAGGGGCCAGGGTGAGTCACTGGCCCGGCACACAGCACAGATGTCAAACACCGGGACCCATCTGGCTCGACGGGGACCCCAACTTTAAACCCGAGTAAAAATCATCCTAGATATTTAAAGTAAAATACCATAATGGAGGAGGATTCCTTTCTCAAATGATTACCTTGAGCATGAATCTCTTCCACCAGTCGAGCTTGTATTTGCAACACAGAAGATGTGTGTCTGCAAATTACTAATAGAATTGAATTTTCCCAACTGTACTGGAAGAGTGTAGACTCTCAGGTTTCATCAAGAGCACTTCCATCAGTGACGGGCTTTTGAGAGACTTGATCTGGGATAGAGATCCATCCATCCGTTTTCTAGCAGGTTCATCCAGTTCAGGATCACAGGGGGGAGCTGGAGCCTATCCCAGCACAAGGCAGGATACGCCCTGGATGGGACACCAGTCCACCGCAGGACACACGGAGACAACAATTAATTAATTAATTGCTTACACCTATATAGCGCTTTTCTGGACACTCCACTCAAAGCACTTTACAGGTAATGGGGATCCCCTCCACCACCCCCAGTGTGCAGCCCCACCTGGATGATGCGACGGCAGCCATAGTGCGCCAGAACGCTCCCCACACATCAGCTATCAGTGGGGAGGAGAGCAGAGTAATGTAGCCAATTCATAATAACACACACACACACAATGGCCTATGTCCCCAGAAGCCCGTTAGCCCACCAGCATGTCTTTTGGGCATCGGGAAGCCACACGAACCGGGGGGGAACATGCAAACTCCACCCCAACAGCACTGCGCCACACTGCTGCCGCAAGTCGCTTTGGATCAGAGAGCAGCATGTCTCGGGGGTTCCCAATAATTTGGCCAGCGGGCGCCAGTGCCAGTCCTAGCTTGTGCCACTGAAGCCAGTGCACGGAATGAGCTACCAGCTTCCAGTGCGGCCCTCCCGGCTGGCTCCCCATGCTAGGCTGTGTCAAACTGGCTGATTGTGGCCGGCGATTAGCGGGGCGCTCACAGGCACTCGGCTGTGCGACGTGGGGCGCCGGCGTCACCAGTACGGGCTGGGGGATGTAGTACGGCTGCATAGGGGGAGCCCCGCCTCCATACGGTATCTCCTCGTAGGTGGGGCAGGGTCCAGTGGGCGGCACCGCGATGGTGTAATATGGAGGAGGGGGCTCGTTCTGCCGGGAGAGAGAGAGAGAGGAGTGAAAGTGAGAGAGCAGCAGCAGCAGCAGCCGGCGCCCCGAGATTCCTGAAACACCCAACAAGGACCCAGGCGGAGGTTCAATAAATACACTCCTCACACTTACAGCGCGCTACTCTGGACACTCCTTTCAGAGCTCTTTACAGGTCATGGGGATCCCCTCCACCCCCACCAGTGTGCAGCCCCACCTGGATGATGCTCCAGTCCTCTCCCCACACACCAGCTCTCAGTGGGGAGGAGAGCAGAGTGATGAAGCCAGTTCAGAGAGGGGGATGATTAGGAGGCCATGACTGGGAAAGGCCAGGGGGAAATTTGGCCAGGACACCGGGGTAACACCCCAACTCTCTTTGAGAAATGCTTCTAAGTAAGACTTATACTGAAAGGAGTTTTGAAACCCCCCCCAAAATGTGAACATTTGAATAGCTTTTAACCCAATCAAGTTTTAGAGAGCTGAAACTAAGCAGAAAATAAAATTAGTAGCACACTTAAGGGACTGAAGTGCTGAATTTTTCCATGGCCGGTCAAAAAACGCCAGATCCAG